CGTGAGCTCTGTTAAAAACTATATATTCTAAGCATCCATCTTTATATTCACATATAGACTCACGTTCACTCCCGAGATTATCAAAAATTAGTTGAACTCTTTTGCGGTAATATCGAGGAAGCTCTAAATCTTCCTAGATTTCAATGAATATTATTGTTTACGTTAGAGCAGACCGCAAGATCCCAATAATGAGTGTGCATAAAGTGCATTGTTTTGATAAGGGTTGCACTGCATAGAAGACGTCTACGTAATGATAGCCGAATCTTATAGAAAAAAGTTCTTTAAAATGAAATAAACTTATTATCATCAATCCCCGATCCAAATATGATAGATAATACATGTTAAATATTTAAGATATTTTAACATAATTTAGGCCATTACCTTGTTTGAAATTAAAAAATAAAAATTGACAGTGTGAATGTAATTCATATAAAAGTTTTAAAATTGCATTCCAATCATGTCAATGATCTACGAGGGATTTTCTTCACATTCACATCTTCACATATTGAACTAGGGATGTCAACGAATATTCGATTATTCGAATATTCATTCATTCGATGATTTGATATTCGAATAAGAATTTACATTTCGAATATTCGTTTTTCTCTTCTCCAGCTTTCACAACAAGAGATAACTATGGTTAATTTTAAGGTCAATAAAATGAAACCCTTCTTTGTCAGTCTTAAAGATGTGAAGAGTTTACTCGACAAAATAAATTCATTGATCAATGAATTACTTGTTTTATAGAATTAGTCTGTTATAACGTAAAGAGATCAATTTCATAATAAATTGCGTAAATTACTTGATTATCTCGGGTTATACTTCCAAATTTTAAAAATTATTTTCGGGAAAATAGTTACTTACCTACGAAAATTGTCCTTGGAAGTGTTTGTTTATGTTTTGAAAACATTGACTCAAGGAGTATAATTTCAACTATTATTGAGTACTAGATAATTGTAATTAATTATATGCATTTAAATCTGAACAATCTTGCCCTTGGTAAGACGATCAGTTCGTCGTTTAGAGATTCAAGATATAATATTTTAGAATCATATTTCGGGTGTTTACATGTACACTCAATTCAATATATTTATTTCATAAATCAACAAATAACGAATGTAAAATTCCTTACTGTACACTTTCAAAATTACACACCCACTTTTTCTTCCAAATCTGTCATGAAGGTAAGATGATGCATATATAAAATTAACCAAATATTATCGAAGATTCGAATATATTCGAATACTTTAATTGAATATTCGAATATGAATTATTGACAAAATCGACATCCCTAGTATGAACATGTGTAATCTATTGTATGTACATGCGTAACTTATAAAATGTTATGAAAAATTTTGAGCGCTTTTAAATTTTAGCACCAATGACAATTCGCAAAATTTTGAAATGTAAAAATTAATCAACAGCTTTTTGACCTAGATTAGCAAAAATAATTCGACGTAAAAATTTCCAGATTTACGGTATATTATAAATACATTGCGGTCTTTATCCATTCCACTAAAACATCACTTATCAATCCATTCGGGTGAACGCATGAAATGAGAATAAAACAATGACATGAAAAATCCACAGGAAAAAAATCTACCTTGAAATATGGAGATAAAGTAAAGTATTCAAGCTCAAAGTCCATTTAAATAATACAAATGAAAAGCAGAGCAAACACTGACCTCCAAAAACATAAGAGGTGGGTTCAGGTGTCATGGAGGAGTGATCATTCCCTCCAGACTAGTCATACCCACCGTGTGCTCCTTGCCATGATCGAGAAAAACGGAAAAATCCCTAGACAATTCAGTGCGTAAATAATGTCCTTACAATTAATATGAAACGTCAATCAGCATTTTACTTAAGGATAATTGTATTTGCTAACAGGGTCATTGTTTCGATCATAAAACTTGCGATATGATAAATCAAACGAGACTTAAATCGTTTAAGAAATTATTCATACGCAGAGCATGCTCTTGTGTATCGAATCAACTGAGAGAAATAAACCCCATATGCAGGTGATAGGGGTATATAGCTAAATAAGGGAAGTTACGACTGAAAATATGAAATAAACTCGTTTATCAGAAACTTTGTTGTTAGGTTACCATTAGCAAATTTTTCTAGCAAAATATCCAAATATGAAACAGATTTGTCAGACTCTATGGTGTCTTTTTTTTCAAGCTCACTGGGATATATCGAGTAGATATATGAATGGTAGTAACTATTGTTAAATGATAATACTTCGTCGATATACGGAAATGACGAATTGAAGGCCACAGCATTTTTTTTCTTCTCATGTAAAATTTTTTTAGTGTATTTTGCTACATATGAATACAAAAATAGGTCTGCTAATAATAGAGCGCAATTTGTATCCAAGTGAATTCCAACAGATTGTTGGGAGACTTGATCTCCAAAAATTACATACATATTGTCAATCAGAAACTCAAGCATCTTTTCAGTATCATCTTCAGAGTACCTATGTACTAGTATACAATCTTAATGTTTTTTAACAAAATAATTTTGCAGATATCCGATGACAAAGTAAATATAATAACGAATTCCATTTTTATTGGAAAAATCAGCTATCTATGATGTCAAAAACCTTGGACTTCCATTTATTGTTTGTTTATCGTTGGAAATGCTTGTGTAAAGAGTTTAAAAGAGGTGCGTTTTGATGTTATTGATTTTGGTAGAACTTCGTGATTTCAATTTTTCGTGGAGTTTTTAAGTTTCCACATCCAATTTACACCACTTCTCGAAGATACTGCTGTACAATACTCCTGAAGTTTCTTTGTCACTGCTGTAAATATTTTATTGAGGAGTAGAGAAATGGGTTTGAAAAAATAAACTTTTTTTTTTTAAAGAAAAACATTAATTTTACTAGAACCCGCTGATTATCTTTGTTTGTAAGGTTTTATGGGGGAGTTTATGGTGAATCAAAGTCATTTTGATTGTTTGGAACGTTAAAGATATGAAAATTGGCATATGGTTTTAAAGAAGTCCCTCCTTAGAAGGGAACTATGGTATTAGTTGGATTATCATTTCAGAATTAAATCCTAGTTCCTCTAAAATGCAATTCAAATAGTGACTAGATTACCATTCCAAGATATATTAATCATTATTTTTCTCTATTACTCATTTTAGACTGAGATAAAGAGGTGACCATTTACATAAATTCTTACCTAAATTTTTTTTAATATCAAGCAAATTCTTATCCTCTGGGACACTAATCTCTATGACACCATTCTTCCACTCCTCTTGTTCACTATTGACTCCAGTCTGTATGACACCATGCTCCCTCTCCTCTGTTTCACTATTGACACCAGTGGCTATGACATCATTCTCCCTCTCCTCTGGTTCACTATTGACTCCAGTCTCTATGACACCATGCTCCCTCTCCTCTGGTTCACTATTGACTCCAGTCTCTATGACACCATGCTCCCTCTTCTCTGTTTCACTATTGAAACCAGTGGCTATGACATCATTCTCCCTCTCCTCTGGTTCACTATTGACATCAGTCTCTATGACACCATGCTCCCTCTCCTCTGGTTCACTATTGACTCCAGTCTCTATGACACCATGCTCCCTCTTCTCTGTTTCACTATTGAAACCAGTGGCTATGACATCATTCTCTCTCTCCTCTGGTTCACTATTGACATCAGTCTCTATGACACCATGCTCCCTCTCCTCTGGTTCACTATTGACTCCAGTCTCTATGACACCATGCTCCCTCTTCTCTGGTTCTCTATTGACATCAGTCTCTATGACACCATGCTTCCTTTCCTCTGGTTCACTATTGACATCAGTCTCTATGACACCATGCTTCCTCTCCTCTGGTTCTCTATTGACATCAGTCTCTATGACACCATGCTCTCTCTCCTCTGGTTCTATATTGACCCAAACATCCACGACATCATGATCTTTCTCCTCTGGTACATTGATGACATCAGTCCCTGTTACACTATCCTCTTGTTTACTTTTAATTTCTGTCTCAATTATTGGATGCTCTCCCTCCACTGATTCACGATTGACACCAGCCTTTGTGACACAATGTCCTATCTCTCTTGGCTCATTAGAAACACCAATCTTTACGTCAAAATGTTCTTTGTCTTCTTTTTCACTACTTCTATCAGCCTTTGTTAAACTATTCCCTCCTTCCTTTGGGTCACTATTAAAGCCAGTTTCTTTTTTCTGTATTGTCCCTTAATAAAGATTTTTTTCAATATTATTGTACCTTTGTTTTTTATTTTAGTTTCATTTCCTGATTATTTTGAATTAAATCCTATCTCTATGACCTAACTGCTGTTAAGGGATGAATATTGAATTGAAATTGTAATCTTTATCCAGCATTGCAGATACTCATTTCAAAACTATACAAAACATCATTCTTATAAATTTAAAATTACCTAGGACATTTTCTTCTTTTGGCAACAATTTTTCACTTTCATCTTCAAAAAACAAAATAAAATTTCTTAATGTTCAAATTCCTTAACTGTTCGTTAAAAGATGTTTCATTTTTATACAAAGAAGAAGACACCATTTATGGCGCGTAGAGTTCATAATAACTTTTATTACATAAAAATGAACCAATAAGCTATACATGTACATAAATTAAGTAAACACTTTTGTATATATAGAGAGAACTGAAAAGACATACTTGGATTTTCAATTTCTTCTATTCTTTTCTGTCTTTGCTTTCTCTTCCTTACAAAATTTGCTATTATCAGAAGAACAATGATTAACACAACAGCAACAAGACTTCCAACGATTATCCCAATATGTGCAGAGTCATCCCCTGCGAAAGTGGTTGTCTGATTATTTATTGCTGTTGTGTTGGAAATTCCATTATTTGTTGTAATGTTGGGGAGAAATGATTCCGTTGTTTCTTCAGGAGATATATCCCATGTGCTATTCGTGAAAGAAACGTTATGTATACATTTGCATGTACTAACACATGCAGAATGTTCCCTAATTTGATCAATAAATATCAATCACTTACCTATTTGCACATGATGAATCAGCAAGATAGCAATGATGCCATGTACTAATCCTTTGGCAAGCAGGGTCTGATGTCAATCAATATGAATAAGATATCAATAACTCATATTATAATGATATTTCGAGAAGTTTAAGGATGTCAGTGTAAATAAAGATTTTAAAGGAAATTGTTCTTACATTTGTAGATTTCGTTACTGCGGAAGTCTACATCTGGACAGCCAGAAACAAATTTGGAACATTTGTGTGTAAAAAGGTTACCCTCTGCAGTTTCCAAGCAATTACCTTAAACGTATTAAAAGGAATTGATGGAGATTCCAAAGTTTCAATGTAATAAATAGAATAAACTCAAATCTTTTGTCCAAAACGATTTGAATAATTTGGGGGGGGGGGGGGGTGAAATTTGATTTATGTAGTTAAATTTATATTTCGCACCTTTCACTCTCATTGAAAGTGGGAAAATTTTAAACAGGACGAATTAGGAAAAAAAACAGCATTAGTTCTTTGACAATATTTTGTCTGGGTGATTTTAAAATGTAGTAAAATTATTTGGAAGTGTCAAATGTTGAAATAAAACAAGACAAAAATAGTATCTCATTAAAACAGCTCATGTGTCCTTGTCGTGTACATGTTAAACGCAGGAAGATATTTTCCTTTTATAGACTATACCTTCCGACAACTCATTAAAACTTAAGAATGCCTGTTAAAATGCAGACATAAATAGGTTCTCCCGAAATATCACTCACCTCTCTCTATTAACCCCATGATCCCATTGTGACAGAATTCTACAAGACCAGTCTTCTCTATGTTAGGAAGACATACATACTGATCATTGCCATACTTGTCCTGACCACAACCCAGTCTTGCACTAGCTTCAACTGTCTTGGTCAGGTTTTGGGGACAAGAGTCGACTGTCCTTTCCATAGTGTTATGATAATCAAGTGCTGGAAAAGAAAAGGAAATTAGATATAGTCTTTCAAATGGGAAGCATTTCATACTCTTAACCGACTCATCAACCTCGGCACAATTACCTATTCATATTTTATAATATTAAAGATATGTTTAAATAAATTTTATGATGTTTTGCTTTGAATACAATACAGAAAAATTATAATTTTTTTGTGTTTTTCCATTTCCATTTTATTACATTTTGCGTTGCCCTCAACGCAAAAATTAAATGACACAAAATGTAATAATCAAAATGTACATTATCACATTCTGCATTAATCTCGACACAAAATGTTATAATGCAAAATGTAAAAATCCTAAAAAAGTATATTATAACATTTTAAGGAATAAAGAAATATAGGTACCTCTTTTTCATGTAACGTTTCTTTACTGATAGCAGTTCCATTTATGGTGTCGTGCAAAGCCTATCTGCAATAATATTGATTTTAAAAATGCTTTAAAACACTCATCGTTACTTCTCAAAGAATACAGATTTATGCAGCATGCCAATTATATTACAACTATCGTGATTCTAAATGCAGATATAGATGCAGTTTAAATAACTTGAGAAAAGGCTCAAAAAAAAAGAAACGAATACGCTATCTTAAAAAAAAAGTTACAAACACACCAGCCTCTTATTTGATTCAACAATGTACAAAGTATATAAATCCTTAGAGAATCAAAATGAAAGAAAACTGATTCTTTTGCTAGTATTTCATACAGAGATTTATTTCTTCTTTTATATATATATATATATATATATATATATATATATATATATATATATATATATATATATATATATATATATATATATATATATATATATATATATATATATATATATATATATATATGAAAATTAAAAATAACAAGGCAACAATAAATTAAATTTAATTAAAAGTCTACTTTCATTTTCGACAAACAGCCCTGAAATAGCAAAAAATAGAGTAAGGTGGCGGTTACCGTTGATACAGTCAATTTTCAATAAAAATGACAAGTTAAAATAGCAATCCTTTAATCGTTTAATTAAACGTCATTTAAGAATTATTTAAGGAAAACTTGATTTTAATGATATACAAGAAATAAGTAGTGATAAGCATTTAAAAAAGCAAAATATGCAAATTGTTTTCGTAATTAACCGATCTTAATCTTGATATCAGTAAATTTCATATATATATATATATATATATATATATATATATATATATATTTCATTCTCAGGCCAGTTTCTAGAAAAAAAAATTTAAAAAATAATTTTTCCTATTGAATAACCGGGTGACCATTGAATAAGAGCTCTTTTAATGTTTGTATGCGTTTTCGAAATTTAGTCAGTTTTCTTATCGTGTATATTGAATCTAAGAATAGAACCAAATTAATCAAGGATTCCTTAGCTTTGAGGAAAAAATAATTTGAAACATCTTGAATAGGATATTAAAAAGAAAACGAAAATAAAATTTTCAAAAGAATAAAAATGTTAAAGATAGACCTGAATACTGTATCAAGTACATTTAAGTTACTCATAGTAAAGAGTAATATTATGAAAGTTTGATTTTTTTTTTCAATTGACTATACATTGGATTTAAGACTGTAAAGCTCTGAAATATTTTTATGCCTCCGTAATCGAAGATTCGGGAGTATATAGTTTTTGTCCTATCCGTCCGTCTGTCTGTCTGTTTGTTTGTCTGTTTATCTGTTTAACATTACCCATAGCTTTTAAACAATTGGTGCTAGGGCTTTCAAACTTTACATGTGTAATCCTTGTGAAAAGACCTTCCTTTGAATAACATCACCTTTGAACTTTTAACCTTGACCTTGGAGTTTGACCTACTTCTGAAAATCTTTAACCTTGGTCGTAACTTTTGAACGGTTAGAGCTAGGGCTTTCACACTTCACAAATGATTTTTTTGTGACAAGACCTTCCTTTCAATACCAACAACTTTTACCCTATGACCTTGTCCTAGAAGATTGACCAACTTCTGAGAAATTTAAGCCTTGGTCATAACTTTTGAACGCTGGCTGGTGCCAGGGCTTTCATACTTAACAGGTTCATATCTTGTGACAAGATCTTCCTTTGAATACCAACAATTATTGCCCATTAACCTTGACCATTGATTTTGACTTACTTTTGGAAAACTTTGATCTTGGCCATAACTTTAGAATAGTTGGTGGTAAGTCTCTGATACTTCACATATGATATACTTGTGACAAGAATTTACTTTGGATACCAACAACTTTGACTCTTTGATCGTTTACGGTAGCTCACTCGGTATAGCGCTCGCTCCGGGATCATGAGGTCGTGAGTGCGAATCTCGGCCGCGACTGACCTAAGTCGATACAAAAATGGGTAGCAACTGTTCCTTCGCCATGCGCTCGGCACTTTGAAGTGAAAGTTGTGGGTCCTTCGGATGAGACCTTAAAAATCGAAACCCCGTACCACGGCAGGCGTTGGCACGATAAAGATCCCTGACTGCTTATTAGCCCTGAGTGCCGAGTAAAGGTCAAAATTTGAATCCCTTCACCGGTATATGGTGACGTCTCTATATGAGTGAAACATTCTCGAATAGAATGTCAAACAACATACAATCAATCGACATTGACTTTTTGATCTTGACCTTGGAGTTTGATCTACTTTTGAAAAAATTTAACCTTGGCCATAACTTTTGAAAAGTTGGTGCTAGACTTTCATATTTTACCTGTGTATTTCTTGTGTAAAGGCATTTCCTTGGATACCAATAATTTTGACCATTTGACCTTGATCTTGATGATTTTTTTCACTTACTTTTGAAAAACTTTAACCTTGTCCATATCTATTCAATGGTTGCTGCTAGGGCATTCATATTTCTCAGGTATATTTCTCGAGACAAGACCTTGCCTTGTGATTTATGAACATTCATGAATATGACTTAAAAATAATATGAATATTCAGCTTTACAAATTGACCACTTAAAGTTTGTCTGGACACATAAAGTTCAAATACTTTGCTTGTGGAGTAAATATGATCTTCATCCATTGAATACTTTGTATCCGTTAGATTAGGCGTTATTTGTAATTAAAGGGGCCTGGACACAGTTGCATTGCTTTTTTTGCTTAAAATTTTAAATTTCTATTCAAAAATTTACTTCAGTTTAATGGATTGAACTTACATGCACCATTTTAAAATTCAATGACAAAGACATTCTTAATAATATTACTTGAAACGTATGTGTTAATAAACATATGCACGAGGTTCAGTTATGATTAATGTTTACTTTTTGCCCGGTGTGTTCAATTTGTTAATTCTGAGCATATCACTAAACACTAACTGACAACACTGGTGTGTTGGTTTTGCTTTCTCACATTTCTACTTTGAATTTCCTGGATTATAATTTTAATATTTTTCATCAATAAACAAACGATTATAGTTTTAATATTTTTCATTAATAATAAACGAGTGGTCCATAATTCTTTAATTTTAGGAATAAATTTTACTTTGTTAAAGTGCAAAGATAAGATTCAAACAAACGCGTCCGTAAGTTTAAAGTTTCCATCATTTTCAGATAAAGAAAAGTTTCTAAAAACGTTTTCATAATATAACGGTCTGAAATTCTATAGCAACATACATGTAAGTTATGATTTTATACGGAAAATTTGAGAAAACATTAACTTCAAATCTGTGTCCCCGAATCTTTAATAATTCGCATTTGGGGCTATGATTTTAACAATTTTCTCAAGCGTATTCTATGTATTTTTCTCTATTAATATATAAATATTAAAAAATTAGCGTTCCGTAGTTTTAACAAGAGTCAATTATTTTTTATCTCTCGTTTATAATTATCCGCAAAAATGTCCTGTGGGAACACATAACCATTGTTCCATTCAAACAATGATTAAAACGAAACTAGATATTTTAATTTATCTTTTAAAAGTCGTACTTTCAGAGACAATATTTTTAAATCTATCTCTTATCATCTATTTACCTCATCAATACATCCCTCTATTTCTTTACAATGAAGTACTTTTGTTATCAATCATCTGACAGGCAGTGGGTGTTTTGTTTCCAAAGTTTTCAATGGAGTCCTTGTATGACATTCACCTTGTTTTTAAAATACCCGATAACCTGTGTATGGTGCACACTGTGGTGAAAAATTCACATTATTTTATTCTTACTATGATTATAAATATGCAGTCATTTCCTCAATAATCAAACTAAAAGAAAACAAAAGTTTTGAAAGGATTGGGATAACTTTATTTGTACTTTACTAAAGATGGAAATAATGAGTAAAAATTTCTGAATATTTCAAAAGCACTACGTAGTTACTCACGTACAGAACATATTTCATCCTTGGAAAAATCTAATACAGAACGCAGAATTTTAAAAATACACAATAATCTCACAGTGCTTATTATACTGAAACCTATGTTAAAAAAAATGGCATAAATCCTTCTCGTTGGAAAGACAAATAGATTCAGTATGATTAGCTATAATCACTTTTTCTTATCAATGGATATATTTTTCTTTTTATTAGTCTTTTTAATTTTCAGAGCAGTCTGTCAATCACCATACTTTCATTATTTGCAGAACACAACTAAAAATACCTAACACATTTAATCGGATTGTTATTCTCTCGTTGTTATTTAATTTTTTTCTGTGAAAATTGGAAATTTATTTTTTAGACAGCGTCTTATAATAGACGTGTCTCTAAATTAAATCTTTTAATAACTATAAATCAAGATTTGATACTAGATGGAGTAGGGTAAAAAGGGGGTGGGGAACATATTTTTCAAAATCATATTACAATTTAAAACACCTAACAATTGTAAAACTAGAAAGAAGTATAATAAATTCTGTTACTATGATTATATAAATGTTATTAAAAATAAAAGGGGATAGCATTTTTATGAAAAAAAATAAAATACTGTTTATCTAGCGAACATTTATGATAATT